ACCCACAAAGAATAGGGTAATAAGTCACTCAGACTACCATGTAACTATTTTCTAAAGCCCACTTCCTTATCAGAAAGCCAGCCTATTGTTCAGGCTGCAAAATGAAAAACCCCTCACCCCTCACCTCCAGCTCTTCTTTGGCAACCCATTCGGGTCCCCTTCCATGACATTGGAAGGTTTTTCTCCTTCCTTAATAAACTCTACTTTGCTCTCCTCTCTGTGTCTGTGTCTCTAATTCTTCCTGAGTGTAGGCCAAGAACCAGCACAAGTGTTGGATCTGATCACCCAGCAACTCCTATGTCACCTAAGGGGCAATTTCTCACTTTCTCTCCAGCTATCTCTGTCTCTCTCCAGCAAGTGCATGCACCCTATTTAAAAAAACCTTTAAAAAAAGTTATGTGGTTGTACCATTTTGAGATTGGTTCCCCACCCCCTCACTCTGCATAATTACCTAGAGATTCCTCCAGGTTATTGTATGTATCAACAGTTCATTCCTACTGAGTAATATTCTATGGTATGGACGTATTGCAATTTGCTTAACCACCAGTTGCTTATTAAAGGACATCTGGATTGTTTCCAGTTTTTGACTATTACAAATAAAACTGCTATGAACATCCCAGTATAGACTTTCGCATAAACATGAGTTAAACATCCAAGAATATAATTGATAGGTCACATAATTGCATGTTTTGGTTGTAGGTAACCGCCAACCTGTTTTCCACAACAGCTATAACATTTTGCATTCTTAGCAACAATGTATGAGTGATCCAGTTACTCACAGCCTTGCCAGCATTTGGTATCCACCTGGGCCTGTGGCTGGCAAGGGGCAGACTTCCATCTAAACTTCCTTCCCATCTGCCAGGTGGGGTAGGGAGATTTAAAGTCCTCAGGCCAACACCAGCAGCCTTCTGAATGGATCAAATATTTCATTGTGATGGGGCCAGTAGGTGGCAGATTGGTTAGGTGTTGGACTCCCACATGGTTGGCTGCGGTTTGAGTGATGGACCCAGTGGCCTAAAATACACTGGCCTCACGTTTGCCCACAATCCCAAGAAAATGGAGGAGAAGGGTTTGCTGTGTGGCCATCCCCCCTCTGTGGGGGTGATTTTTCACTTTTTCACTCTCTGGGTCTCTGGCGAGCACATGTGCTCTATAGCAAAAATCTTTCTAAAAAAATTCATTGTGGGGGACCAGCAGGTGGTGTGGTGGTTAAGGTGCTGGACACTCCCACACGTCTGACCACGGTTCAAGTCTTGGACCTGGTGGCTTGCTTTCTCACTTTCTCTCTCTCTCTCTCTCTGTCTCCCTCTGATCAAATTAAAAAATAAATGAATAAACAAATAAAATAGAATAAAATAATTCTTAAAAAAAAAATTCATTGTGGTTTTGGGACCAGCAGATGGCATATGGTTAAGGTTCTGGACACTCCCACATGGCTTACCACGATTCGAGTCCCAGTCCTGGTGGCTTGCTTTCTCAGTTCCTCTCTCTTTCTTTGTGTCTTTCTCTGGTCAAATTGAAAACTAAATGGATGAATAAATAAATTTTAAAAATTCATTGTGGTTTTAATTTGCATTTCTTTCATTTGTGTTGTACAATTTATAGCACACAAGTCCTTTATATGTTTTAGGCTTATACCCCAGTATTTAATTTTCTTCGAAGGAATTGTAATTCTACGTTTCTAGTTGGTATACAAAATGAGTGGACTGTAGTGTGTTGATTTTGTATTTTGCAACCTTCCCGAGTTCACCTATTCAATCCAAGGGTCCTGGGATGGGGCAGAGAAGCCTCACATATAGTCAGTGCTCAGCAGAGACGTGAGCCCCACGCTGCCCTGTCGCATGGCGACAGGCTCAGACTCTACCTGGGCCTGTGGCTGGCAAGGGGCAGACCTCCTCCCCAGCTGCCATGTGGGGTGGCAGGGTGTTACAGACCTCAGGCCAACAGTAGCAGGAAGCCATGGAGGAAGGCTATGAGGGGGTCAGGCTTCAGGGAAAGGGTTGTGAATGGGGTGGGATGGGGGTTGAGGAAGAGGTCAGGGGGAGAGCAGAGGGGATGGATGGGCAGAGGTGAGGAGGGAAAACAGAGATTAGGGAGGACATCAACAAAAAGAAAGGACAAAAGAGATGAGGGAGAGGACCACAGAGCCCAGTCAGGGCTCTCAGAGAGTGGGACACCCTCACAGCCTCTTCCTGGGTGAGCCCCATTTTCTGTTATTAGACAGGACTCCACAAAAGAAATCCAATGTGGCCAACTCCATCCGACACAATCACTACACTCCCCCCCCCATAAGAACCCAGAGTGTTTAGATGGAAGTCTGCCCCTTGCCAGCCACAGGCCCAGGTGGATACCAAATGCTGGCAGAACCCAGAGTGAAGGCTGGGTACCAGTGATCAGACTGGTATGGTGACGGATGGGCTCTATTGAAGTGGATGAACATTTAAGACAAAAAAAAAAAAAAAACAGAAATAGCATTGTACGTGTGGGACAGCAAGGGTGTGTTTGAGACCAGGAGGGCTTCCTTGCTAGGGTGGGAGCTCCTGCTAGTACCTCTGGCAGGCCAGCCCCACCCCACACCTCCACTGGCCTTGAGGCACGGGTGTGGGGCAGGGTCAGTGTGTTCTTGCAGATAAGACAAGCTGAGAGTCTTCACTTCGTCTCCAACCCATATGCTTCTCTATCCCAACAAATAGAGGTCTGTGCCCAGCTGTTTCTTCAGCTGTAAAAGGCAGATGTGGGTGGTGAGGGGGTTGGGAATGGGAGGAGCTGCCTACTGACAAAGATGCTTAGCTTGGCCAAACGTTGGTCAACTCCTGAATCAGCTCCTGGGCCCAGCTGTACGCTTCCTTGTAAAATCCAGTTTTAGCAAGGAACCTTGCTTCGTCGTGACAGTCAGAGGCCCTGTCACTGGTACTGGACCATCCTTGATAACCAATCAGGTTCCTTATCCTCTACCTTCCCCCAGGTAATGTCTTGTCCTGAGGCCTGTCTTCAGTGTTAATCCTGTTAAATTGGTTTAGCCAGGACCCCCATACCCCTGGGGTTCCCTCTTAGTAATTTTCCATCTGCTGACTCCCACCCTACTCCTCGGCTATAAATTCTTATTTACCCCCTGCATTCAGAATGTATCTGCCCCACTGCCCGTTATAGCGGTCCCAGTCACCATTGCCATGGTCCTGCATAAAATCTCCCTGATGGTGCTTTAATAAATGACGCTGACTGGGACCAGCGGGTGGTCTGGTGGTTAAGGTGCGGGTTCCCATATAGCTGACTGCGGTTTCAGCTCTGGACCTGGTGGCTTGAAAACCACACTGGTTGGGTGCATGTGCTCTAAGATCCTAGGAGAAGAATGGAGGAGAAGGGGTTGTAGCGTTTCCCTCTCACTGTCTCTCTGGCAAGCGCACGTGGCTTATAACAAAAACTTTAGAAAGTAAAGGACACTAATCAGTTTTTTATTTTTAAAATTTGTTATAGGGGCATGCGCTCTGACAGAGAGAGAGAAAATGAGAAAGCACATCCCCTCCACCATCACCCCCTCCATGGCAACGCAGCAATCCCTTCCCCATTTTCCTCTCGGATTTTGGGCACACTGCCCACTGCCCTCCCCTTCCCCTTCCCCCCTGTGTTTTTCAAGCCACACGTGGAGACTAGAGCTGCAAAGTCAGCCAAGCGGGACTCACCCTTAGACTCTGAATAATGTTTAACTTAACACAACTCCCTGGGAGGGGCAGACAGACCACCCCCAGCCCGCCCCGCCCCAAAGGCAACACCTCCCACCGCAGCCCAGCCCCTGCGGCCCCACTGGGGCGAACCTAAGGCCTGGTCTGCATCTGGGTATCTTTGCAAACTGCGCCTCCTCTTTCGGCTTGCCTCTGGCTCTCTCCATGGCTAGTTTGGACCTGAGTAATGAAGCAGTGGTGGCGCGGGGAATGAAGGGCCTTCCACGCCCCTTTCATGAAATGCACATCTTCCGAAGAGGCAGAGCGACTTTAAGGCTTCCTTTCCAACATCCACTCACGTGGGCGTGCCCACTGCGCGGATCAAACGAGCTGTGTGAACTCGTTGCGGAGGGAATTTTGTCCCCGTTGTGTTTGGCGGCGACTTGCCGAGGCTGAAAGAGGAGGACCCATTTTCACCAACTGATCTTTTCACCTGACAGTCGCGGGGACCCACTCCCACCATCACCACTACCGCCACACAAGTCCTCTGGGGGCGGTGACCGACCCGGATTGCTCGGCCGGGCATGGCCCCACCTCCGCGGGCGGGCCTGGCCCACGCAGGGCGCTCCTTAAGTCCGCGGGCCGGCCGGGGGCTGCTGGGACTGCGGAGCGCGGTAGGCGATGGCGGAGCCGGCTGCCAACCTGCCGGAGACTACTGCGGACCGCTCGGGGTCTGCCGATGGCTCGGGATCCGCAGGGGATGTGTCCAAGACGGTGGGGGACCCGCTGGCGCCCGCCCCGACCCAAACTCTGGGCGCGCTGCTAGGCCACCGCGTCTATGCGCGCCGCTGGGTCTTCCTGCTGGTGGTCAGTCTGCTCAGCTGCTCCAACGCCACGGTACGGGGGCCGCGCCGGGAGTGGGGAGTCCGGGACTGTCCTCGCCAGTCCTCCTCTGAGCCAGCCGGGCGTCATTGCTCGCAGTTACAGCGCGGACTACTGGGGACCCAGGGCGGGTTCCTCTGACCGTGGAAGGGTGGGAGGGACAGATGGGTGTCCTGACTGTGCGGACGACGAGCAGGGCTAAGTGACCACGAATCAGCCAGTGAAATCATATCTGCTGGTCATGGGGGTCCAGGCCCCCAACCTGCTTGTTCCCAACTCCCTCCTGTCAGGGGCCTGGAACCCCTTTTTCTGCAGCTCATCTCCTACAAGTAAAGTCTTAGATGAACCTTACTCATGTCCCTGGCAGCCACTGTCCTGACCACCTCTACACCCCTTGGACAGGTGTCTACACACACCTGAGAGGAGCAAGGGCCAGAAGCCGCTCTCTCGCCAGACCCGCGTGTTCCCCCCCGCCCCTGCCAGTGGTGAAGGAACCTCAGGAATTCGCCCTCCTGCAATGAAAAACTACATACAGTTGGGCGCCCACAGCTCAGGGAGGTGCCGACGGGCTGTGGGGCCACTTGGAAGCTAGTGCCTGTGAACAGGGAACACCAGCAGGCAGTCCCGAAGTGGCAGCCATTGGGATGGCCCCAGCCTTTTCTCTTTTCTGGACAGGGTGTGGAGACAGGCAGCCTGAGGCACCAGCTGGAGGTGGGGGCTGCAGTGACTCCAGAAGCCCATTTTTCTGCTGTAACTGCCTGGCTGAGCTGGCCCACCGCTGGGGCTTGGCTCCCTGGGCCTTTGTCTACATGCAGGGGAAGCCGTAATTGACTTAGGGTGCAGCACCCAAGCGTGCAGAGCCGGGATCTCCCTCAGCCCCAGGCACTGCTTCCATGAGGCTGACAGCTGACGGGCGTCATGGTCTTGGGAGGAAGAGTCGAGTCCTACCTCAGTCCCGCCCCTTGTTTCAACTCAAGTCATTCCGGAGAAAACATAAATCCTACCTTGACTCCAAGAACTGTAGAGATCCCTGCCCTGGTCACCACAGCGAGCGCCATGTTTGCCCTGGCCGAGTTCCCCTGAGCCCCACAGTTACTCATCTCCATCTGGGTGGCCAGGGCTCCTGCGTTCTGTGAAAGCGCCATGAGGGGCAGATGGAGCAGGTTGGAGTGAGGCTCGGAAGGAGTCCCAGGAGTGGCCCTAGGGAGACAGCTCTGTGTTCCAGATGACGATCAGTGTGTGAGGTGGCCGCTAGCATGCCTAAAGGGGTGGGAGAAGGTGAGCTGGGAGCAGGTTGAAGAGAGTTTTTGCGGACAGAAGAGTCAGACAAATGATCTTCCCTATGTTGCCTTCCAAGCTTTAGACGCCTCCCTGTCCCGTCATGGACCACAGCTCCGGGGAGGGTCAGGAATGGAGCTGCGAGGCTGGTGGCGCATGAGCTCAGCTTAGCAGAGCAGCCTTTTGTAAACAGAAGCCTTTCTCTCTCTCTGCTGGGCTAGGCCAGGCGGGCAGCACTTTGGCCTGTGTGAGGACTCTGAAGCTGGGGGAATCTGCTCCTTATGCTGTCCTGAGAAAAAAGGAAGAGAATGCAGCTGTTGCCCAAACTTGCAGTCATGTGAGGTTTTGCGGTCAGACCTCTGTCTGGGCCAGTAAGCCAGGATCTCACTGCTCAGCCTCAGAGTTGGGTTAATCATGCTACCCACTGGTGGTGGGTCTACACCTGTCCCACCCTCTGCCCCGGCCCCCCTGTAGTAAGTCTGGGTGATTCCCCTTCTCCTCTTGGCCTTTACTTCAGGGATTACTTCAAGGATGAACCCATCTCACCTCCTCCAGGAAGACTTCCCCACTGTCCCAGTGTGCTCCTGTGCTGTTTGCTGAACATCTGTGGGACTGAGTCCCATCACTTGACAATGCCTATGGCTGGAGTCTGGTCTACCTGACCAGACACCAGGTCTCCTATAGGGGAGGTTGGCTAGCCTTAGGTGGGGCCGGCAGATAGTCCAGGTGTTCCTACCCAAGACTTAATCACCCCATTTGCAGAAAGTCTAGAAGTGAACCCTCCACCCCACCCTAAAAGCATCCTGGGCTCTGAGGTCTGCGGAAACATTGGCTCTGTCCTTTCCCTGTTGGCCTCTCCATGGCCCTCTGCATGATGCTGCTGACCCAACACCCATAGCTCGGGCTGCTTGGATGTCTGCCACTGGGTCTTCCCCACTCACTGACCTTCGTGGTCTCCCCCAAATGTGTCCTCTGCTTGGCCCATGAGCCTGGGCCCCAGGGCTGCTGTCTCCCCTTACCCATTTCCTCCTCCACCTCCTGTGCTCTGGGGCCGTGTCGGAACAGCTCCACCTCTCCCAGGTCCCGGCCTTGCTCTCTCGCTGCTCGTGCCTGATCCTTGACTACCAAGCCTGCCCTCTCGTGCCCACCGCCCCCGTGATGCCTCCCAGACGGTGGGTGCTCTCCTCCCACCCACAGCCCTTGGCCCTCTTTTTGGAGGGTGAGGTCCAGTCTCGGTGAGGCTCACAGCCCTCTAGGCTCTGGCCTCAGCGTCTGTCTCCAGGCTGGTCCACCCTCCAGGCATGCTCTCCAACCCTGCAACTGGGTGCCTTCCCTCAGGCTGCCAGAGTGAGGGTGGCTTCTGGCAGAAAGACTCCGAGTCAGGGTGTGTTCCTGACTTCTCTTCCTTCCTTTCTTCCTTTCTTCAAGTTTATTTGCTGAGGATGTCCTAGTTAGGGTCTTCACCCGTGATCCTCTCCCCTAGCCCTGCAGCCAGCCAGGATCATGAGTGTGCCTTGACTGTGCAGGCCAACCTGAGATGTGAACCCAGAGCCTGTCCATGTGGCCTGCAGCATTCCGCAGCATTCCGCAGCAGCGCCTCTCCTGCCTGCACTGCTGTGGCTGGAACCTTAACACTTTCTCCCCCTCGGGCTAGTTGAGACCAGAACCAGGTGAGTGGTTCCTGTGGCCACCTGGCTGACTCCTACGTGTCCCTGTAGCTCTGGCTCAGTTTCGCACCCGTGGCTGACACCATTGCCGAGCACTTCTCCCTGTCCATGGAGCAGATCAACTGGCTGTCATTGGTCTACCTCGTGGTGTCCATCCCATTTGGCATAGTGGCCATCTGGATCCTAGACTCTGTTGGGCTTCGCTGGGCGGTGAGTCAGAACCCAAATCAAGGCACGTTGGATGGGATCCCACGTTGGGGTGGGATCCCCTGCATTTGGGCATGATGCCATCACCTCCTCTCCAGATGAGGGCTTACCAGCGCCACCTTCTGGGCTCCCGGACAGAGGCACTGGGGCTGTGGGTGGCTGGAGGTCTGGTCACTGAGTGGACAAGTGTCTAGGGCCCAGGAGGAGCTTGGGATGACTGGTAGCCCCTGACCTTGTCCCTGCAGACCATCCTGGGTGCATGGCTGAACTTCGCTGGGAGTGCGCTCCGCTCCGTGCCCTGCATGACCCGTGAGAAACTGTACCCAATTGCTTTCCTCATGGGTGGCCAGACCATCTGTGCCCTGGCCCAGACCCTGGTCATCTTCTCTCCAGCCAAGCTGGCTGCCTTGTGGTTCCCAGAGCACCAGCGGGCCACAGCCAACATGATCGCCACCATGTGTGAGTCCTGAAGCTGAGGCCACCTACCCACCTGGCCTCTGGCTTGGTGAAGGGTCCTCTGTTCCCATGCTTTCTGGCCAGGGCAAGGCTCTGCCTGTGGGCTGGGGATGAGGTCACAGCTGAGCTCACACACTTCTCTGTCCATCATTCCTCCAGCGAACCCCCTGGGCCTCCTCGTGGCCAATGTGCTGTCACCTGCCTTGGTGAAGACGGGGGACGACATCCCCATAATGGTGAGGGAGCTCATGAAGTGCATGTTTGTGCATGTGTGTCTGTGTGTACTTGTGCATGCGTGTGGAGTTTGTGCATATGCACATGCACACCTCTGCACATGTCTGTGTGACACGCCTGTGTTTGTATAACCTGCTTCTCATATGGGAATGCAGTTAGCAGTTGGATGGGTGAATCTGGAGCTCGATGAGGCGGGCAAATGTCAAGGAGGGAGTCGTCCTTGAGTGATATTTTGTCTTTTTTTTTTTGAGAGAGAGAGTTTTTTGCTCTCCAGAGAGTCAGAGAGAGAAAGTGAGAAATCACCTCCCAAGGAGCATGGCCGTGCCATAATCCCTTCTCCTCTATTTCCCTCTTGGGATCTTGGGCACGCATGCACATGTGCCCAGTGTGAGTTTTAAGTCACTGGGTCTGGGACTCGAACCATGGTGGACTATGTGGGAGTCCAGCGACATAACCACTATGTCATCTGCTGGTCCCCAAGTGATAGTTTAAAAGTCAGGACCCCACATGAAACCCCCAGGGCAGGTCTACCATAGGTTCCGAGATTTGCTGACAGCGCTAGAGATTGAAGGTTGGGTGGCAGCCAGTCGGGGAGCAGGAGGAACTGGAGTACACCCTCTCCCCAGCTTGGTGTCTACGTCATCCCTGCCGGCCTCACGTGCTTGCTGGCCACTGCCTGCCTCTGGGAGAGCGTGCCCCCCACCCCGCCCTCTGCCGGGGCTGCCAGCTCCACCTCGGAGAAGTTCCTGGACGGGCTCAAACTGGTTGGTGCTGTGGGTCTCAGATATCGGGGGATGGGGAGCTGGAGGCCCAGGAGGGGGTAAAGTTGGGAAGACCTTGGCCAGAGGCCCCAGGGCTCCTTTTCCAAGACTCTTCCCCACAGCTGGTACGGAACAAGGCCTACGTCATCTTGGCAGTGTGCTTTGGAGGCGGCATTGGCATCTTCTCCAGCTTCTCGGCCCTCCTAGAGCAGATCCTCTGTGTGAATGGCTACTCTAATGTGAGTACTGCCCACCCCTGCAGGAGCCCACAGCCTCCCAGCCACACAGCTGGACACCCCGGAAGACACTGGGAGACGCTGGCATCCACCTGATGGTGTGGGTGCTACTGAGATGCTGTGTGTGGAAGCTGTGTTAGCAGACAGCAGGTGGCAGCCATGGCTGCAGGGTGGCAGGGTGCTGAGATCTCGCCTACGGCCTCTTCATCTTCACCACCGTACCCAGTGACCTGGGGCTCCAGGGAAGGGCAAGCCCTGGCATTCAGAGATGCAGAGGGGAGCTTTGCTCGGCCCACACGTCTCCTGCCCTCTACAGCAGCACTGGGCGTGGGTGCTGGGAGCGTATCTCCACCTCTGGCGGGGTACCCAGGCACCCTGCGCTGACAGGTGCTTCCCTTCAGCAGTTTTGCTCCCAGGGTGGGGGCGGCCCAGTGTCACCCCCCGCCCCCCCGTAGGCAGCCAGCAGCACAGCTGCAGCCTGTCTGTGCTGCTGTCCTAGGCGCTGAGTGCCTTACCTGGGCTCCTGGTGACCACATGCTCCCTAAGGAGCCTGCATGGTTTCCTTCGTCAGTGACGGTGCTCCAGGCTCTCCTTTGCTCCTTCAGGAGTTCTCGGGTCTCTGCGGGGCTCTCTTCATCATGTTTGGGATTCTGGGGGCACTGGCTCTTGGCCTGTACGTGGACCGGACCAAATGCTTCACTGAGGCCACCAAGATAGGCCTCTGCCTAACCTCCATGGTCTGCGTGGCCTTTGCCCTGGTAAGAGTCCCCTCAAGCCAAGACCACCTTTGCCAGGGGTGGGAGGGGGCATTCTGAGGGGTTGGGGAGGTTGTGAGGCTTGGACAGAGCATCTACCTGTTGGGTACCCACACAGCCAAGTCCAAGGGCTCATCCGGGACGGGGGTGCCTGACTGCCCTGTCCTTCTGGTTGCTGCTTCCAGGTGTCCCAGATGCGGGGACAGACCCTGGCGCTGGCAGCCATATGCTCGCTCTTTGGGTTCTTTGGCTTCTCAGTGGCACCCGTGGCCATGGAACTGGCCGTCGAGTGCTCCTTCCCTGTGGGAGAGGGAGCTGCTGCAGGCCTGATCTTCGTGCTGGGGTGAGAGTCCACCGCCCCAGCTACCCCACAGGGCCCAGAGAGCCTCCCCATGTCCCACCCTAGGCTGTGTGGCCCAGGCCCCTTTCCCACAGGCAAACTAGCAAGATCTGAGGACTTACTGAGCACCTGCTGTTGCAGGTCTGGGCCAGCTCTGGGGCCCACACTGATGGGCTGTGTGCTGCCCACAGAGCGACCGTGGCATAGTGGAGGGCATGGGGTCCCTTCCAAGGTTGGATCTAGCCCTGCGGGGGTGGGCATTGCTGCCAGCCAGGGGCTGAGAGCCACGTGTGTCCAGGCAGGCCGAGGGCGTGCTCATCATGTTACTGTTGACGGCACTGACTGTGCGTCGCGCGGAGCCATCTTTCTCCACTTGCCGGCATGGCGACGTCCCGCTGGACTGGACAGGTGAGTGCCCAGACACAGGCACAGGAGCCCCAGAAAGCAGAGGCGAGGAGGTGGGGCCTGGCCTCTCCTCCACAGCCCTGTCTCTTGGTATCTCCATGTCCTTAGATGGGTGCCAGGTACCTGTGGGGTGGAGGCAGAGTGGCCCTAGAGTCAGAACCCTGGGCTGATCATGGTGGAGCCCAGAGAAAACCCTGATGAAAACCCAACTTTCTACCCTTCTGTATGAGTTGTTTAAAAACCAGTGAAAGAGAGACATAGAGAGACATGGGGGCAGAGATCTGAGAAGGAGAGGAAAGACAGAATGATGAGAGAGAGAGAGGGATATGGGGAGTCAGAGAGAGAGATATAGGAGGCAGAGAGAGAAAGAGATAGAGGGAGACAGAGACACAGAGAGCTGCAAAGGAAGACTGTGTTGTTTTCAGAAATACCTGAGGCTGGGTAATTATAAAGAAATAGAGATTTATTGACTCACTGTCCTGGTGACTGAAAGTCCACAGCTTCATAAAACGGCAGAAGGCAGAGATTCCATCAGAGTGGAGTGCGGTCTATATCCTTATGACCACCGCCTGCCTCATTTCCTCTCCTTATGAACCCACCCTGTGATGTCTCACAGTCAAAAGCCCCAACCTGGGACACCATGAATGGATTAAGTCTTCACTTAACACCCTTACAATACAACACATGAACTTTGGGGAGACATCCAGTCACTTCTTACTAAGACCAAATTCCAAAACATGAACCTTTGTGGGACAAACCATTATCCAAACCATATTAGAAGCACAGCAAGACATGGACACACAGAGAGACACAAAAAGGAGTGAGTAAAACAGAAATCAGACAAGTGGTACACGCCATGTCCAAGACTCTGCACTGGTGACCTCAGAACTCAGTCCTCAGAAGCTGGTGTCTGCACACACCTCCTTGGGTCTGTCAGGGGCTGGAAAGGGCTCTGCTTCTGGGTTGCTCTGTGGTCCTAGTTAGTGGGGTCAGCATGGGTCAAGGTCACCTGGAACTGTGCCCATCTGCAGCCACACAGGCTTGGGTGGCTCCTGAGGGAGCTCTGGCTGCTTGAGGCAAGATGGGGGACAGAGCTGTGCCATGTGTCCCTAGTGTCCATGCTGCTGATGGCTGGCCTGTGCACCCTCTTCAGCTGCATCATGGTGCTCTTCTTCTACACTCCATACCGGCGCTTGCAGGCGGAGTCTGGCATGTCCTCCTCCACCCAGGAAGTGTGCCCAAGAGCTGAGGACCATCCTGAACCACCCCTGAGGACCTGACATGGAACCCCCAGCTGTTCGCTGCTGGAAGCTCAGGGGCAGCTCATTCTTAGAGGGAGTTCTCTTCTAGGAGCCCCAGGACTTGGAGAGATTATGACCAGAGATGTCTCGTGAAGGAGAGGTGGGAGAGGCAGGCTTGGGTTACCTTGGCTGGCCAGCTACAGCTGAGAGCCTGTGGCAGAGATCTGGGGTCCTTTGCGTACCCAGTGCAAGGCAGAATGGCCCTTGGCCCCAGGACAGAGCATGTGGCTACAGCAAGAAGAGCTACCGCTGTGTGGACATTGACCTGGCAGGACTCCTGTGGCCAGGCCAGACCCAGAGTGGCTGGGGGGGGGGGGGGGGGGG